CATGTTCTGCCATTCTGTGTTTTTTGTTCTAGAGTCCTTTCCAGCTCTAATATTTTGTAGCCTATGTTCTAAGCTTCCTCCCAGCTCTGACATTCAGTGTTTTAAGGTCACACTCTCAGTGCTGGTATTTTGTGTTCTAAACATCCTTTCAGCCTAGACATGCAGTATCCCATCACAGCAAATCCCACAGTCTGAAGGGCCCTCAGAGGCCTCCTGGGCCAACCTGTATCCGCATGAGGTTTTCCTCTAGAACCTATCCACTAAACAGACATCCAGGGTCTGTTTGAAGGCCATCGGTGAGGGGGACTCCATGTTTTGAAGCAGCCTGCTGCACTTTGAGATATTTCTCCCTGTTGGGAAGTTTTTCCTCATGTAAAGTGGCTAGGGAGTTTCTGGCCTCAGAGCTCAGACAACTCCATAAAACCCAGGACAGCCTGATGGGGAAGGAGGCAGGGGGGCAGAGGAGAGACATGTAAATCCTGCCCGAATCCATACAAATGCTCAGCCAGAACAGTATGGTACAGTGGATAGAGCCCTGCATTTAGAATCAGATGACCTGGGTTCTAATCCCACATCTGGCACTTACTACCTCTGTGGACAAGCCTCTTCCCCATGCTGGGACTTAATTTCTTCAACTGTAAAATTAAAAGGGTTGGGCTAGACAATGCCTAATATCCTTTTCAGTTTGAAGTCTATGGCCTTGTGAATCACGTACTCCCGCTTCCACGTCCAAAGACAACCCTGTACAAACTGTCCTATTTACACGATGTACCGTCTCCTTCTACACCTTTCCCATACAATCTCACACTCAGAAATGCATTTATGCATATGCCCTCTCCAAATACACCCTTCCCCACACAAACAACACATTTACACTCACAGTCAGAAAAACCTGTTCAGACCCATGCACAGAATTAGGAAGTTTAGAACTGGAAAGGACATTTAGTAATCATCAACTCCAACCCTTCAGGTACACAGAGATGTACGCATACGCACACACTCTCACAGAAACACACAAAGACAATCCACGTACTGCTAGCCATACAAAGACAATCATACGATCTCACCCTCAGAGGCACGCACAGAAACAATCACGCAGACCTCACCCCACCCCTCCATCTCTCCATAGCCCCACTCTGCCAGGGGTCCCCTCCACCCCTCCAGAAACTCACCAGCCCTGAGCTGGGTCCCTCTGCTCCTAAGACACCGCTGGCTCAACTTCCCTGGGCAGAAATGACCAAATGACCGCTCCCAGCTTGTCCCAGCCCCAACCTCCCTCCCTGGGCCCCGCCCTAGTTGCTCAGGTTGCCAGGGAGGGGAGCAGGTGTGGCCTGGGAGTTTGGTTCCCCCGTTCCCTGGCCCTGCCCCACCTCAGGGGCTCCTGAAACAAGGCCCAGGTCCCGCTGGGCAGGAGGAGCCAGAAAGATGATATCTTCCCCCCCTACTTCAGGTGGGCAGAATTCAAGGGCTGGGGCGGGCACAATACCCAATGCCAAGGCTTCCCAGTGGCTGGGGCTCTGTGGGGTCAGCCCTTGGCCCCCCGTAGGCCCCAGGCGATTTTATCCTCTCTCCTGCCGCCAGCCTTGAAGAACAAGGTTTATTCATAGCCTCTCAGGGGCTGAATAATACTTAGAAATTGCTGGGATCATAGATTCTGAGCTGGAAGGAACCTCAGAAATCATGTAGTCCAATGCCCTGATTTTATAGATGAGGAAGTACAGGGCCCAAAGAGAAGGGGATTTACCCAAAAGAACTCTGACCCAAAAGCTCTTGAAAATCCGGGGTCTTTTGAGTCCCAGAATCACAGACCCAGGAGGACCCTCAACAATGGAATCCAACCTAGTTCCCTACATCAGAATTCCCTTGAAACCCCTGACAAATGACCCTGCAACCTCTACTTGAAAACCCCTAGTGATGGGGAACTCACTACCACCTGAGGCACCCATTCCACTTTTGGATGTCTCGAATTCTTTGTAAGCTCTGTCTTACAAGCCTACATATTCCTCTTCTATCCATTTCTCCTGATTTTGTCTGTTGAAGCCAGACAGAACAAGTCTGAGCCTTTCCTGCAAGTGCTTCCTCAGATACTTGAAAAGAGATTGTGTTCTCTCTAGAAAAGAAAAGCCTCTCTACCCATCCAGTGGATCTGCCTCCACTTCTCTGAACCTGATTCCCTCCCTTCCCATTCAAAGCCACCTTCTTTCTCTCTAACCCTCTGTCTGTGACACTCATCTGGATTCCTGCAGGTCCCTCCTGGACCAGCAGAGAGGACAGGAACTCCAGCTGACTTTGGAGACTTCTGGAAGCTAACACTGGGGTGGGGGAAAGAAGACTCAGGGACAGGGAAGTACAATTATTCTTATTTTATAAAGCAGCTCCAAAGAGGAGAAGGGACTGTAGTCACTCAGCAAGGAATCAGCATTGGCAGGCCTTCCCATTTCTAGAGGTCTGGGCATGGGGAGTGTAGGGCTCAGGGAACCCATGTGGCAGAAGGGATAGTGATTTTGTGGCTGCTGGCAGGTGGGGAGGAGGGTGTAGGTGGGGGGGCCATGGGGCTCCTACCTGGATCTTGGTCGTGGTGCAGAGCACCTGCCACGGACGGGGATAGCTCAACATTGAGGGGAAACGGCTTGAGCTAGGTCTAGATCAGGTCAGGGCCAGTGGGCACCCGGGGCCCAGAGGTCAGTCTGGAGGAAGGGGACAAAGAAGAATCCAGGGTCTGTTTTCCACACCTTCTCTCATTGTCTTTTCACAGCATCCTCATGAGGGAAGGGGATGAGAAGTAGATCCCCCCCTTTGCACTCTCCATGACCAACCCTCCCTGAACTGTCCACTCCTTCCCCATTCTGGTTCTTCATATTTAAATGTTTCCGTTGGTTTCTGGTTTGGGGACAGGTACAATTACCCTCATTTCATAGATAAGGAAATTTTAGGTGTTGAGAAGTCACTCTGTAAGTTATAATAAAAATGTGACACTAATAATAATAATAGCTAACATTGACGTAGCACTTACTGTATGCCAGGCATTGTTCTGAGCACTTCACAATTATCACATTGGATCAGGACTCCTGACTCCCATGGCTGGGGGCTCTTTCCTCCATCCAGTATCACCTCCTCTAACACCTTCCATTACCACCAATCCCATGAAACTATGGCTCCTCTATCCTTACATCACGAGTAGCATTTCAATGATCTGGGATTAGAGGAATGGCCAGACAACCTGGGGAGACCCAGAACAAAGGGACCAGATCCCAAGGGGATGCCTAGATTCCCAAAGCAAGAAGGAACCTCATAGGCTAACTGGTCCAGCCCTTTTGCAAACAGGCATCCACCTCACCACCCTGGGCCTGTTTCCTCATCTGGAAAACCAAGGGGATGGACTAGTTGACCTACAAGGTCCTGTACAGCTTTAAATCTATGGCCCTTTAATCCTGCATCTCAGTACAGTTCACTCTTTCCCCACTCGATGCCCTTAGCTCTGCCCCCAGTCCCACTAGATAAGTCTAATCAAGACCCACCTCCTTTGATTCAGCCATCTTCTCTCCCATCACGGCCAGAACACCTCTAAAAGCTGCTGCTTAGGGGGATCCTCAGAAACGTTTTCTGCCAGATTTTCTCCACCAGCCTGGCCCTTGCCTATTTTCTTCCCTATATAACTCCACCGGCACCTTTCCCCTTCAAAACAGGAACTGAGGTGTTCCTCTCCCTATAGCAACCGGGTGAGAGTATATCCTGGGCAGGAAAGCTACAAGGAAGGAGCTGGGGGAAAGGGATGAGGACAGAACCCCATCTGGAACTCAGACACTGCCCATGGATGGGGCAGGGAAGCCCCAGGGAGAAAATGTCCCCCATTTGGAATCTCCAGACAATATTGATGAACTTAGGGAAAGTTATCAAAAAAACCAGGAAAGATCCTATTCCTCCCCCCAACCCCAAAGCCTCCCAGGCCCTTGACTCTTCACCCTGGGCCCCATTCTCAGCCCTTCGAATTAAGGTGAAGGTTTTGCTTTGAACAGGGGAGAAGTGGGGTTGGAATTCATGGCTCAGGTCTAGACTCACCTGTCTTGTGGGGGAGTCTTCCCAGACCGGGCATAAACTGGGGCCATTCTAGGAGCTCCCACTTGGAAAAGTGAGACCCCAAAGTGGCCTGGAGTAAGCCTCCCCGCGGGATCCTGGAAGATGGGAAGTATGGTCTAAGGGGCCCCACGGATCTTACGTCAGCAGCTATAGCCATCTGCCACCTCTTTTTATGACTTAATGACCCAGCTTCGTACGGACACACCCACTAGCATGGGGCCCCAGGCGCCAGCTGCCTAGGGTGCTGCCTCCTCCAGGAAGCTCCTCCAGATTTTAACCCTCCCCAAGAAAGAGATCAGGGAAGCTGGTAGGGGCAAGCTGTTCACACTGTTTATTTGCATCTCCAAAGGGGGAGGGAGGAGAGTTTTGTGGGGTGGTTTTGTCTTTACAAACAGTGAGTGGAACTCATAAGGGCCTTTTCACTGAAAGAGGGCAGAGAGAAGGAAGGACACTTACGGGAGGCACAGACTTGGGGCAGACCTTGGGTAGGGGGAGAATCGGCTGGAATGACAGAACAGGCAAAGGAGGGAGGTGTGAAGGTGCCCACACCTTTCCTCCCTGCTTGGGTCTGTGGGCCTTGAGGGAGTAGCGGAAAGGCATTGTGGGGGTGCTGTACCCCTCCCATACCAGGGGCGAGGGCAGGGACCTGCCTGGCCAGGCTGGCCTGGAGGGAGCCCACCCCCACTGGGCCCCAGGGGTCTGTTTCAAGGTCATGGCCCACGGGTCTCTGGCTCATGGCACTGAGCTGGGGGTGGGAAGAGGTCCTGGGAATTCAAAGCCAACATAGATTCAGGGACAGAAGTGTGCACGCGTGCATGTATGTGTATACATTGTATGTGTGTGAAGAGGGCACCCAAAATCATTACCACAGACAACTTTGGGTTAAAGAGATGGCTCCAGGCAGTTGGGGGTGGGGATATTTCTAGCATATATATCCAGAATTAGGGGGAGGGGTGGCAGCAGTCAGGGAAATGTTAGATCAAAATAAGAGGAAATCATATCTATTTTCATACTGAAAAACTGCCACACAAGTATCCTGGGTACGTACATAATTTCATATTTAATGTTTTGGAGGGAAAAATATCACTAGCATTGAAATCCTTAGGTTACCCCTATTCATACCACATGGGACACCAGTCAGGACTGCCAAAACCAGTGTGGTTAGGGATGGCCTCTAACCTTCCATGACCTACCAGTCCAATAACTCTGTCATAAAAGGAAAGGACAGGCTGGCAGGACTTCATCTCAGTGGGCTCATGCTGGCTCCTGGTGATCACCATTTACTTCCATTTCTAAATACTTCCAAACTCCCTAGAATACAATTTTCCTGGGGACTGACATCTAGCTCAGTAGGCTGTAGCTTTTAGAATTCATAAAACTGGGAACTACTGAACCATGGGGTCATGGGTGTGAAAGAAGTGCTCTTCCTGGTAGTGGCTGACTTGAGCAATCACAGGGGTGGGGAGGGAGTCTTTGTCCCCAAACTCCTTGGTCCACTAAACGAATGACCACAGGCCAGCCAAGATTGGTCTTCATAAACCAAACCCTGATCCAGAAGCAAGCCCAGGGACAGCCGGCCTCAGTTCAGCAAGGACATGAAAGTGGGCCAGCCTACTCCAGAGGGAGGGGCTCACAAAGAGCCCAGCTCCCACAGCTGGGCCTGGGCTGGGGCCCAGAACATCCAGGGTGTGCACTGCCCTTGTCCCTCAAAGTAAGGGCCCAGCTCCAAGACTTTGGGTCTTTCTAGACCTTCCTGGGCTAGAGGCAAGGGCGCATCCTTTTGTTCCCCACCAAAGCAGATAGGAGAAGATGGCACAGGAGAGGGAAAGTGGAGTCTCTCGGCAGCTCCAAACAAATCCCCTCCTACCCCGGGCCTGGCTCAGCCAAAGAGAGAAGCACCAGATGGAGAAGGCCCAGGGGATCAAGGTGGGGAGAGAGCACGATCAGCTAGGAAGAAGCATGCTAGGGGTACCCACAGCAACAGACGACCTTGGGTCTACCTTGGGCGAGGTTGAGTGCCTCTGGTGGGGAAGTCACCCAACCTTTCTGCAACTGCATTCCCCCTCTGTAGAGGAAGGGGTTCCAAGGTCTCTGAGGGCCCCTGCTGTGATTCTGTAGGGGCACCTGCTGCCCACAGGTGGGAAAAAGGTCTTGCCCCTTGCCACCCCATGTCCCAACTGCATCTGGTTCACCCTAATCTGGTCCCGGGAGGCTAGCATTTGAGGGCAAGTTTGGTCCAGACTGACCATCTCCACAACCCAGCCCTAGGAGGCCTAGGTCTTGTCCCCACTTTGGGAAGTGGAACACGGAGGTCTAGACTCACCAGCAGGTTCTAGACCTGGCCTCTGTACCTGAAGAAGGCCTGAGAGTTCAGAGCAGCATCTCCAACAATGTCCCTACATTCTAGAGCAAAAGTTTACCAAGCAGAACTCAAGACAGCAAGGGCTCCGGGAGTCCTTCCGCTGAGGGTGAGGAAAGGAGGCCCAGTTTTCACTGAACCAAACCCCATCATCCATTCAGGGAGTGGACCCAGGGAAGAACTGTCTTCCCCTCCACCCCCATCGCAGATCTGAGGCCTCATCCACACAGTCTCATAAATCCAATTCTGGTTCTCCATCCCAACCTCCCTCTGCTCAGCTGCTTCCGCGCTCACAAGCGCCAGAAAGGAGGAAAGTTCTGCTTTCCCACAGCCCTCCCTGAGTCACCACGAGCAAGCAGGGCCAAATACAACTAGCTCCCAGGGAGAGCTGGGGGACCTGGGGAGGAAACACCCACACTGGGAAGTTCTTAGTCCATTCACAGGCACAGAGCCAGGGAGGTGCAGGATCCCAGCGGGGCTTCGCTCATCACCAGGAGGTTAGGGGACCACCACTCAGATCCAGCTCAACGCTTCAACGACAGCCCTCGCCTCCAAAGGACAAGTGGGAGAACAGGGCCAGAAACTCAACCCACCCATCCATCCTCTTCAAAGACCTACAGCTGGAAGGGGCCTTCAAGGCCATCTTATCCAACACCCTCATTTTACAGATGAGGAAACTGAGGCTGAGAGAAGTGACCTGCCCAAGGTCACAAAGAGATTAAGTAGCAGAGCTGGGCTTTGAACCCGGGCCTTCTGCCTCTGAATCCAGCGCTCACTCCACTGGACCACACTTCAGGACAGAAAAGGAGACTTCGTCGTCGACTCCCTCTTCAGGCTCACGTTCCCCACCCCCCACCCTGCCGGCGTGGGAAGCGGGCACAGGCTGGAGGCAGGGGCTCAGGAGGGCTGACGCTGCTGCTCCATCGGCAAGGTGGGGTTGTGAACCCTTTACCAACCGCACAGTCCTCGTCCTTGTTTAAGAAGGGGGGGAGGGAGGGAAGAGTACATCTGTATGTTTGTAAATGAGTTTTGGGGACTGCGGCTAGGTTGAATATGTGTCGCTTGAATCGATGTCTCTGTCTATCTGAATGTCCGTGTGTCCGTGTGGATGCACTTGTCTGACTGTGTATCTGGAGTGCTTCCGTGTGTGTGTGTGTGTGTGTGTGTGTGTGTGTGTGTGTGTGTATGGGGAGTTGTAGGTCTGGGTAATCTAGTCCTGGGTCCCTGCATACAATATTTCTCAGTGTGACCAAAGATGTGTGTTTCTGTAACAGTGTGCATCACTCTGAGTTGAGTCTGGGTGACCGGGCATCATCAATCTGTGTGTGTCTCAGTGTTTGGTGTATGCACAGGGGTGCAAGTGTGTTTATTTCTGAGTATGGGTGTGTGTGTGTTGTTAGGAGTATGTTAAGGGTTGCAAGAGAAACAGGTATAAGGTTTAATTTTCTGTTTCATAAAGAGATTTTCGTGTCAATAAAATCTGGCATGTGTGTGTGTGAGTGTGTGAGTGTGTGTGTGTGTATATGTGTGTGTGTGTGAAGACGCTGGGCCTTGGCAGTATGGCCAGCATGGGCATGGCACAGAGTGGCTCGAAGGCGGTGTCGGGGCCAGGGGACAACGGGCCCGGGGGCCTCACATTACAGAACAACACCGACAACGTTGTTTCTTCATATCCAGGTCTTTGTCTGCGCTGGCTGTGACATCTACCGGAGGGCTTTGGAGGCCCGGCTTCTCCCCAACCTGGTTCTCTTCCTTGCTGTCTGGGGCAGTGGTGACGACAGTGGCCGATGGTTCCTGGGCGCTTCCGTTGGGCGGGGCCGGGTCCTCGATTACCACCAGCTCAGCCTTGATGGTATCCTGTAAGCCCAGGACTTTCTTGGTCTCGGCCTCGTCCTCCACATTCTGGTAGCCCATGAAGATCATGGTGACTGGCTGCTCCTGGCTTGCCTCAGTGCCCGAGGCCTCTCCCGGCTGTGCCTGTACTCCGGTGATCTCCCGCCGGGGGGTGGATCTGGTCACCTCAGGGGTCCCTCGGGCTTCGGGGGCTGCTGTCACTGTTACCTCGCTCAGCGTCACCTCATCTGCTTTGTGGATCAGCTCGTCTACCTCTGAGGAACTCAACTGGTGGATGCCATTCTCTGTGGTGCCGTCCACTGCATGAACCACTGCAGGAGGAGAGAAGGAAGAAAGGAAGCGGAGAGACAAGATACAAGACTGTGAGACCCAGCAATCTTGGGGAGGAGGGCTGAACAAAGCTGCAGCCAGGGTTTGACCTTGGAGCTGGGAATACTGATTCTGTCCTACGGTAACAGGTAAAGGTGACCCTTGGGGCTCAAGAGGCCTGAACTTGGATCCAGAAGCATTACATCTCTCCCTCTTAATGTAATCAGTAAGGGTCACTGTGTGGAGGTCAAGAGCTTTGACCTCACACTTGAGAGAACTACTTCTCTCCCTCCTATGCTAAGTAGTTGGACCTGGGAGGAACAATGCTCTTCTTTCTGGGGTGGCCAGTAAGGGTGACTCTGGGGAACAGAGTCCATCTGAAGGGTGGAAAAAACTCTAATTTGGATAGCTCTGCTCTTTCCTGCCTCAGGCCCTTGCACAAGGGCCATCCCTCCCCTAGGCCTCAGTTTCCACAACTGTAAAATGAGAGAGTTGAACTCAAGGGTTGCTGCTTTGATCCTGACACCCATCTCCCCTCAACCGTGAACAAGATCCCCCAAAGGAACTGGAAAGCCCCAAAGGCTTTTTGAGAACTTCAGCCTCAGAATTTAAAATCATCCTCACCACAACTCTCTGGCCATGGCCCCTTTTTACAAACAAGGAAGGTACAGAGGAGGCAGGTGACCTCCCCAAAGTCACACAGCCAGTTCAGCAGGGCAGCCAGGGTTGGAATTCCAGCCTCCCTGGCATCTAGCCCCGTGTTCTTTCTCGGCTCGGGGACGGACAGTGTAGAGTTCCTGCAGCATCAGCAGCCTGGGAGCGAGGTCCTGATGGGGGGCCCCCAGCCTGAGCCTCCTCTGAATAGAACCGGGCAGGGCCAAGCCAGGGGGAGGGGTAGCTGCTGCTCTGACCACTGGGTGGCACCATTGTTCCACCCAATCTGGGCACTGGGCTGGCATGGGGTGAGGGTGAGGCCAGGGCACCAGGCGGGAGTGGGTGAAGAGACACTCAGGCTGCCAAGAGGCTGCAGTAGGGTCAGGGAGCCTGCCAGCCCATGGCTGCCATGGAGATGGATCACCTTTCTGTCACTAAGCAACCTGGGTCCAGTTTGGCTGGCTCCGAATCCCCCAGGAACAGTGTCCAGATTATTGGTGGGAGGGCCCTACCATGGAAGTAGGGGGGAAGGAGGAATCCAGAAGCCTCCTTCAAGAGAAGCATCAGAAGGGAGCCCATGGCTGTGTGCCCTTGGCCAAGGTGGTTCCACTCTCTGGGCCTCAGATCCCCCAATGTAAAATAGGAGGTTAATGGATTGTGAGCTCTAAGGTGCCTCCTAGTTCTAATATTCTTTGGTCACTAACACTCCCAGGGCACCAGTGCTCTTCAGCTAGGTGTCCTGGGCTTGGAGACTTCATCCCCAGGCTGTGTATACTGTGAACCAAGACAGGTTATCAGGGGTTGCTGTGAGAAGGACCCCCGGGTGTGGGGGATCCTCAGTCCCCAGAGGGCTGGGTCCTCGCTCCTCCAGGCTGCATCAGGGCCTCATCCCCGAGGGAGGCTGGCGGCCTACCTTTCATCTCGTCCTCATACACCTTCACCCCCTGCAGAAAGGGCTCCTGAGGGGGCAGGGTGGTGCTGGACAGAACCTTCGTCTCCCCAGTCACCCTATCCTTCTCCACGGTTATCTCCACAGAGTACATGGCTGAGACATAAAGGGGGACAGGAATTACCACACGAGCATCCCAGGCCCCAGCCCCGACCTTGGGCCAAGCAGAAGCGAGCAAAGGAGCAAGGCAGGTGGGCAGGTGAGCAAAAGAGAAAGGGCCAAGCAGAGGCAGAAGTGGGATGGCCGCAGAGAGCAACGCTCCGCGGCAGAGGAAGGAGCTAGTAGTCACCGGCCCAGGCTGGAAACCCTGGCTCAGCTGGGTGACCTCAGGCAAATCCCTACCCTCTCTGAGCCTCAGTTTTCCCCAACAAGGGGTCGGGCCTTCAGATGCCCTTCCAGTTGCTGCCCCTTCTTCAACACAGGCCATGCTGCTGACTGGATTTGGAGTCAGAAGACCTGGGTTCGAATCCTAACAGTCCAATTTGTGTGACCTTGGGTCACTTCCCCTTACTGAACCCCAGTTCCTCCATCTGTTACCCTAGATGGTCTTTACATCCCATTCCACCTTTAAATACTAAGATTATATGACATATGGGAGTAATATGAGCCTGGCTTTAGAGTAAGGTAGACGTGGGTCCATGACTGGCCTTAACACCTGCTTCCAGTTACGGCCTCTGAGCCAAGCAGAACAATTCGAAGCCCTTTTCCATATGATGGCCCCTCAAAGACTCCAAGACAGCTATCACTTCTCCAATGCCCACCACTCGTCTTTTCTTCAGGCTAATAATTCCCAACTCCTTCACCCGATCCTCTTCTAACACGTTCCCTTGTCCCCCAATCATCCAGATCACCCTCTTCTGTTTACTAATGTCCTTGCTAACACATCAATCAATCGATCAATCAATCGATATTTATTAAGCATGCACTATATGCCAGGAACTGTACTAAGAGGTAAAAAACAGTCTCTGCCCACAAGGAGCTTACAGTTTAATGAGGTGCTAAGACAAAGTCTTACAGCTAAACCCAGACCTCTTGGTTGTCTGACTAGGGGAGAAGAGAATGGGGCTATCACCCACCATGTTCTGGCCTTCTTGGGGGTCCCACCACACTACTGCTGTACAATGCTGTTCACTGACCCCCTGGAATTCTCCTTGGAATTACTATGCCTAGCCATGCCTCTGCCAATCACTTAGGCAGTTATTTTTTCTTTTAAACACAAGTGTAGGACTTATTATTTATTCTTATTACATCCTATCTTATTATATCTGGTCCACTCTTCTGGCCGATTGAGATCCTTTGTATCCCAAGAGTCATGCACCGATAGTTCATAGCCAGTCTCCACTCCTAAGGCTAACAATGGAGACACTCCCTCTATGGCCCTGTTTTCTCCCCTCTTTCCCAAGGTGACTCTTCTGCTCTGGCCAAGTCAGTTTCCTACATGAAAGGCTCACAGCATAGTTTGGCCTCCAAACTCTTACACTCTTCTCAATTGGGTGCCAACTCTCCTTTCTCAGAACCCAGCCTTAGGACGGATCGCATGCTGTGTTAACAGGAACTCCCCAGCTTGCCCACAAGTGTCTGCTGTCACCCCAGGACCTGGGGTTCAGAAAACTCACTCATCCTGCACCCTGTTGTCTTCAATGTTCCCTCTGCTGGAAGAATGAGCTGGTTCCCCTGAGATCAGGCCACACAGGGCTGGGGCCTGCAGGGGTGAGAGTGTCACAGGCAGGAGGGAAAGCGGCTGATCCAGACAGCTGGAGGCACTCGGGACTCGGAAGCAGTGAGGCAGAGTTGGGTTAGGGCTACCATGCAAGTGAGAGCCCACTCCTCTAAAGGAAGGGAGGGTGGCGTTTGAGGGGCAGCCAAAGCAGACGGGCCAGCCCATGAGGGTGGCAGACAGAGTGTCCCATGTGGAGAGACCCAGGGCCCTGAGCGGAGGGACCTGGGAAGGCCTCGGTCCAGACATTCTGTTGCAGTAGCATGACCTGAGGAGTCCTCTGAGAACTCTGGACCAGGCTTTCAGAGCAAAGTCCTTCCCACTCGGTAGTTACTTCCAGCCCAGATCTGGGCTAGGCCCACAGCCAACTCTCAGCAGTCCCCAGTCCCTACTAACCCCAGATGATGAAAAATCACCAATAATCTAAAACCCCATTCCTTACTCCAGGATTACTGCCACAATGGGATGGTTTCATTCGGGCCATAACAGGCCAGTTAGCGTCTCATCTTCTGCATAGATAATCCACACTCCCAGATAACTGAAAGTTGGCTGAATGTCATGGACAGCGATGGAGCGTGAGACAGGAAGGTGGCTCTAGAGGGCAATAGACCCTTCCCTGGCAGCAGGGGCTGGCCCAAAACCCTCCTAGGGGTACAGAAGGGGGAAAGAGGTTCACCACCCACCTGCCTTCATCATCTCAGTGCCTTCCACCACCTTCATGGGGCTGCTGGTGACTTTCTTCTCTGCTCAGGAAGAGGCAAAATCAGGGGATACGAGTGAGAGACAGAACCTAGCCCTGCTCCAAGAATACATTCCCAAGATGTAAAATCCCATGTCACAAACAGAAACGAGACCCAGACACAAGGAACTTGCTCAGAAAAATAATAACCTAGGGTTTAGAGCTGGGAGAGGCCATAGGAATCATTCTCAATTTTCAGATGGGGCCCAGAGAGGGGAAGGCATTTCCTCAAATTCATACAGATACCAGACTTGGATCAGGTCTCCATACCCCACACCCAGGGCTCTTTCCACTACCTAGGCTGACTCTTTTAGGGACAGAAGCAATGGGGTGTGGAGAGACTGGGGGAGAGAAGAGACCCTGAGTTGCAATGCCCTTTGATGAGGAGGGCATCAGACTCCCATTGGCTTGGGAGTCAAAAGGCCTGAGTTCTAGTACCGGCTCTTTTTCCTTCCCTGGGTCTTTATTTCCCCCTATAAAAAAAGAAGGGGTTAAGGAGGATCTCTGAGCAACCTTTGAGTTTTCACCACTTGCTATTCTGAGCTTCTCCAAGGGAACCGGGCTAGGGCAGCCAGAAAGGGACTCCTCCAGCAGTTTCTCCTGCATCCCCAGTTCTGACCACCAGAGGGCACCACCATCATCCCCCACCTGAATCTTCTCAATGTAACCCTGGCAGTCCCAGGGACCTCAGACACTTACCTCTGGGTGAGGCCACTGGGGTCTGCAAGTGAAAACAGGAAAAAGGTCACTCTGAGGTTCCCATGGCCTGGTCCCCCAGCCTCCCACAGACCTAACCCAGGGCAGGCTGGGTCTTCCCCATTACCCAGACCGCCCCCCCCCCTTCCTCTCCACCTGCCCAGGTCCCCTGGCATCAGCCAGAAAAAGAAAAATTGAAAGGAATCCAGGGGCATGCTGGAGACCCAATTATTAGATTTCCAACATGAGCATTTACAGCTCAGAAATCGGCAAATGCAAGTTTATTATTTTATTGACTGTCGAGATTTAAAGTCATGGAGAAAAGGTTTAAAGTGCAGACTAAAAGTAAAAGTGTGTCCTATGTACATTTTTTTTTAAACTCTTGGAGAACTAGTTGTTAAACATTTACAGTGTACTCCTGCAAGGGGGAGCTGCGGGGGGGGGGGGGGTAGTGACTCTACATAACTTCGGAGAAGCCTCTGTCCCTAACTGAGCTTCTTTCTCCACCTCTAAAATGGAGCCAATCTCCAAAGCCCCTTTGGGTCCCGATGATCCCGGATCCCAGTGGATCAGGCGGAGGAGGGCCCACAAAAAGTGGGCTTAGTCAGGGAGGGTGTTGGGGTAGGGCCAGGCTCCTGGGGACAGGATCCCAAGGGGAAGAGATGGGAGGCCAGGGGAGGAAGGAGAGGGAGGAGCAGAGGGTCCAGGAGATGCTGCCTTTGCTCCAGGAAGGCCAGGTGTGTCCTGGCCCGGCTGACAGGGGTCAATGGAGCCATCTTAGGGAGGAAACTGTCTGGAGGGGCCAACATCCGGCTGCTACTGGGAGGGAGGAGGAAAGGGACACAGGGATGCCAAAGCTTGGTTCTGATCACTGCCTCCAGGAAGCCCTCCCAAACTGACACGCTTCCTCCTCTTCAAATCTCTCCAGATCTTAAAACTTCAAGACCCCGCCCCCCCATTGGATTTGCCCTGAGGTGGGCAACGTCTCTAACCCCTAGAGTCATCTTGCTGCAGGGACCTCACCTTCTGGGAATGAAGGATCTTCTCTTCCTTTCTCTCCTCCTTCACAGGGCTTGGGGCTGGGGCCTGGGCTGGGACCACCACATTCTCCCTGGTAGCTGGGACAGAGTCCTCTGTCTCCAGGATCTCTAGCTCAGTCTCCAACCTAGGGGAGGACAGAATCCTTGCTGAAGACTTGGCCACTGATTCACTGGGTGCCTTTGGGCTAGTCCCTCACCCTCTCAAGGCCTCAGTTTCCCCATCAGTAAAATGGTTTGATGATCTCTAAGCTCTCCTCTAGTTCTGACATCTGTGAGTAATGGAGTATATAATTTAACCTCTTAGCTCATTAACAAAATCAGGGTAATTGCCTTTTACCCAACCAATCACTGAAGCTCTGGGAGGATGCTTAGAGATCATCTAGTTCTCATTTTATAGATAGGGAAACTTAGTCAGACAGGAAGTGACATGTCCCCCAGGATCACACAGCTGGAGTCTGGATTAGAACCCAGGTCTTGTGATGCCTAGCCTGAGTCTCTTTCCAGATAAAAGTTGCCTGTGGGGCAGGGAGGGGGCTGGGGGGATGGGGTTAGAGCTAGGAAAGGGGGAGTTGGGGAGGGGGAGAGGAGGGCATCAGGCAAACCCACAGAAAGAAGAGGTAAGTTCCAGAGACCTGCCAATGACCACACCCCTTCTCCTAGAGTGACAGGATAACCAGACCAGAGACACCCATTTCCCAAGCACAATAAATCTCTGGAAAGAGTAACTCACAGGACTCAGGTTTTCCCACTGTCCAATACCCCTCCCTTTCCCCAACATCCCCCTCCCTCCCAAGCCAAACACAGCTGACTTGGGTGAGGTAGTGAGCCCACGGGGTGTGGCTTCCTTCTGGGCTGAGCCAGAGATCACTCAGCCCCCTGCCTCCCCAGGTGACCACACCCTTCCCACAACCAGGCACAGAACTACAGAGGATCTCAAAGCACTCCAGTGTCCAGCCAACTTTAGTTGTCACGGAGATAGGTAGGGAACAGGTGGGCACTGCCCCATCTTGGACCCAGGAGAGATTCGTTGGAGGGATACAAAAAGCCAAAAATCTTGGTGAAGGGGTCTGGGACTGTGGGGGTGTCATGGGGCTCCTCCTCCATATTCTCGCTATTTAGCTAGTTTTTCAGGAGTCACGAGGAGCATCCAGTCCTCCCTTTCTGATGGGAGCAAATAGAGCGAGAAGGGAAGGAAAAGAGCATTTAAAAACCTACGTGCCAGGCATTGCGTTAAGTGCCTTACAAATATCTCGGTGAAAAGTTAGCATCTCCAAACGTCATATGGGGAGATCTGGGTTCAAGGCTTGGCCCTGCCCTGACTCACTGTCTCTTCCCCCCCATGGGGCTCAGCTGCCCTCTTCTGCAAAACGAGGGGCTTGAATGGAATAAGTCCTCAGCCTGGATTCTGGGGGAGGGGGGAAACAACCATGGGAAGTCGTCTCCTTCTCTGCAGATGGCAGCTCCCTCCCCAGCGGGGTCTGAGGCCCCAGCCCGGATGTCCCTCTGGCTGGACCGAGGCTTTGTCTTAGCCAGGACTGAAAGTGAGTCTTCTCTCTGATCCCCTCCCCCTCGCCGGGCTTTTGGCTTGGCCTCAGTCTCTGGCTTCTGTGGAGTAGAGAGGGAGTGAATCCACGAGCTAATGTTGGGCTGGGCCAGGAACCAGGGGATCCCCCTGGGATTGCATTCCCAGCACCTCTCAACCTGACGGCCAGCCCCAGCAGTCCAGGCAAAGGCCTTATCTCCCCACGCAGACCAGGGACTTCTCAAAGGCAAGAGCTAGCGCCACCCCCAACCCAATTACCACACATTTATTTTACATACATTTATACATGTGTATGTATGTTCAAGGATAAGCTCCCAGAGGGCAGGGCCTGTTTCACTTTTGTCTTTGTATTCTCAGTGCCCAGGACAGTACCTGGTACACAGCAGGTGCTTAATAATTGCTTACCGACTGAATGACAGCTACGGGATCAGACCCAGCCCCTCCTCCACCACCCACCACCACCAAGATGAGACCAGACAGAAGCCCTGCCTCCCCACCTCAGGATAGAATCCTCCAGCTGTTTGACCTTCTGTTCGTCCTCCTGCATTTGCTTCTTCATCACATCATCCTCCTGGGAATCGGTGGAGGGGGCCCCCTCTAGCAACCATCGCTCCCGAAGGGCCTTGGACTGTGGAGGGCAGATGGGGGTGGGGAGTGATGTCTCCCGCCACAAAACCCAGGCTTAAACACTTAGCGACTCATAGGATCAGAGGCAGAGGGGCTGAATCCCTGATTTCTGATGGAGGAACTCCCAGTGAGCTCCTTCCTCCCTTGTCAATGCCAGCTGGCATCTTCTCTGCAATTTATAAGTCTTAGAGCACAGAGAAGTTAGGTGACTTGACCAGGACCACACAGTAAGTACTAAAGGTAGGAAAGAGATTCTCAGATTTAGAGGTGGAAGGAACATTAAAAGATCTAGTCAAAGTCCCTCATTTTACAGATAAGGAAACCGAGGCAGAGAGGGGTTAAGTAATCCCAGATCACACAGGTAATAAAAGGCACAGTTGGGGTTGGAACCCAGAGCCAGAACTAAATTTAAGAGCTTACTTAGTCTCCTCTTTCAGAGAGCATCTCCCATGGACCATATTAAAGGAAATTGCTGCCCTTCTTCCGGATCCTAACTAAAGGGGAGGCTGCAGGCGCAGTCACCCATGGGGACAGGTACCTTTAAATGCTGCAGCTGCCTCCGGTCATCTTCCAATTGCCGCCGCTTGTTCTCAATCTCAGTTTGCCTCTTTCTCTTCTCCTAAGGGACAGATGTGAAGTGAGAGTCAGTCCCAAAAAAGGGCTTCCAACCATCTTATTTTTCTCAAAACTCCTCCCTTAGAGGGATCCTGGGCTAGGATAATAGCTATCAGAGCTGGGTTGCAATACCACCAACCACCAGCAGGTGTCAGTATCTACCAATGGATCTTGAACCTGAACCTTCTGCTCTGAAATTCCAGGTTTAATCACACCCATTACAAAAGATTTAGTCAGAATCTGAGAGTTAGTAAAGCCTTAGAGACCATCTATTCCACCCCTCTTTTTTCTTTTTAATTTAAATTTTAAATTTAATTTTTTTACTTGCAAAAAAAATCTATTTTCTCTCCTCACTCCTACTCCCATTGTAAAGGAAAAAGAAAACTGAAACTCTTATTACAAATATGCATAGTCAAGCAAAACAAATGCCTACACTGGCAGTATCTTTAAAATGTCTCAGTATGGCCACCATCTCTCTGTTAAGGAAGTGGGTAGTGTCCGATCCTCTCATTCTATAAATAGAGTACAAAGAAGGAAAGAGGTATGTATCCCACTGCTGAGGTGAGAAGGGAGCAAAGCTAACATTGTCCCGCTGGCCTCCCAAGTCACAGACAAGACAGCGGCTTGTCACCATGTCACATGGCCTACTCGATGGAGGATGAAGTCAGGAGACCAGGGCTCTAGGTCTTCATCTAGTCCAGGGCTGGGGAACCTGTGGCCTTCTAAATCCCTAAGTGCCACCGTTGGACTGAATACAAATTGGATTCAGGGCAAAGGTTCCCCACCCCTGGTCGAGCCCAACTATTTCACTGCCTGACCTTGGGTGAGTCCTTGTACCTCTCCAAGGCTCACTTTTAAATCAGAGATTTTCTTCTCTTTTCTTTCTTTTTTCTTTTTCTTTTTGGTTTTTTTTTTTTTGGTGAGGAAATTGGGGTTAAGTGACTTGGCCAGGGTCACACAGCTAGTAAGTGTCAAGTGTCTGGGGCAGGATTTGAACTCAGGTCCTCCTGACTCCAAGGCCAGAGCTCTCTTCACTGAGCCTAAATCAGAGGTTTATCATCGGATTCAGAGCTGATACCACTTAGTCCAACCCCATCATTTTTTTTTTGGCTAGGCAATGGGGTTAAGTGACTTGCCCAGGATCACACAGCTAGTAAGTATGAGGTCAGATTGGAACTCAGGTCCTCCTAACTCCAGGGCTGGTGCTCTATCCACTGCACCACCTAGCTGCCCCCAAACCCCATCATTTTAACATGGGATGAAAGTTAGTACCAGAGGTCAGGTGATTTATCCAAGGTCACACAGCTAAGTGGCCCAGCCAGGATTCAAACCCACCAGGTTCCTTGACTCTAAATCCAACACTCCTGCATTATACTATTGTCCAAGTTGTATAGTGGGGATGACCATCACTGCCCACCTATGGAAAGGGCTTTTTTATTTTTAACCACACCAGTGGTTTCATCCACGTAAGGAATTTCCAAGAGAAGAATCTTCCTCTAGCAGCACAGGGAGGCACACTGATAGTTTTTTCTTTCTTTCTTTTTTTTTAAGGCAATTGGGGTTAAGTAACTTGCCCAGGGTCACACAGCTAGTAAGTGTCAAGTGTTTGGTCCGAGGCTGGATTTGAACGCAGGTCCTCCTGACTCCAGGGCCGGTGCTCTATCCACTGCACTACCTAGCTGCCCCACTGATAGTTTTTGATAGCTGCTGAGAGCACTGAGGTTAAGGGACTGGCCCAGGGTCATACAGCCTGTATATGTTACAGGTCCCGATCCCAAAGCTAGCCATCTATCGACTACGCCATATTGCATCTTGTCGTCATCAGGATTAAATGGGGTCATGGATGGGAAAGTTTTCTAAAATGCAAAGAGGTACACAAGTACAATATTCATTATTGTTAATTAACTTGTATCACAGACATTCTAATAACAAATATTGAATTATTTTTGTTGCCGCAACATGAAAATTCTTCGCCAATGCGTCACCGTGGTGTGGAGGTGACCCTGGGTTCCTGAAGTTTTTGCCAACGCAGCCCAAGTTCTGGCAGGTTGTCCCAGGCTGGAAAGGCTTTGAGGATGAGCCCAGTATCAAAGGAGGACACGATGACAGGATCAGCTTAGAAGCTGAACATGGAGAGAGACTCATCACTGGTCCTGGGGGGGGTCGGCCTCTCGGAGATCCGGTTTTTTACAAATCAGGAAACTTAAGGCCCAGGGAGGTCAAAGGATCGTGGGATCGCTGGAAGTGACCTCATAGGCCTCATGGTCTGAGAAAACTGAGGCCCAGGGAGGTCAAAGGATTATAGGGTCATAGGTGTAGAAGGACCTTACGGATCCTCTATTCCAACCCTCTCCTCCCATTTTATAGATGGGGAAACTGAGGCCCAGAGAAATTAAATGACTTGACTAAGGTCACACGCGTAGATGATTTTTCTTTTGTTTCTCTCACAGTGAGACAGGACCCCTGACCCCCACCCCCCACTCCCAGCTTACTCCAGCTTCATTAAGCCCCTATTAGATTAGGAGGAAGGATGTCAGGGTACTCACCGCAATGGCCTGAAGCCTTTCCTGTTGGAAGGTGGTCTCTACAGAGACTCTGTTAAGAAAAAAAAAAGTAGCATGAAGTCATAAACAGGCTTAAGTGGACTTCTCGGGACACGACTGTGGCCCTTTCACCATTTCCCAAAGGCAGGGGTCCTCTCTCCACCCTGCAGACCAGGGTGTCCCTGTCACCCAACAGAACAAGGCCAAGATGTTCACAGGGCTCCCCAAGGTGACCTAACCTCTCTGCTGCTCCAACTTGCTTCCCCTCTCCCTTCAAATGCTACCTCCTCCAGGAAGCTCTCCCAGATCGCTTTGGCAGGAGTTTTCAGTCTTTACCTCCTCCCCACACCTCTTTTGCCTTCCTCGTGCCCCTACGACAGGAACACAGAGCATCAGAGGTGAAGCCAAGGTTGACATAAGGGAGGATACCTTCATTTTCCCATAATAGAATAGAACCAAGTCATCTCCGCTGGAGCCCTCCTCTATCTGCAAAGTGCTTTGAGATCCTCAGACATAAATCCCCAATAAGCCCAGGACTGCTTAGAACAGCAACACACCCAGGGAGCGACTTTCTGATGAGCAGGGGAAATGCTGAGTGGTTGGGCTGGGAAATTCTGGGTAGGAGCCAGGGACCCTAATCCTCCCCTGTTGTGTCTAGCCCCTGACCATCCCGGGCAGACAGACCATCCTCGGGCCCACATCAGCACAGAGGGCAGCACTACCCTACCACCTGATTCCTGCTCCCCTGACTCCCACAGCAAAATGATCACTACCGCCTCCCACTTCTCCTTGACCCTGGTGCCCTTGGAGCTGAAATTACAGCCGGGCCTGAGGTTATCAATTGCTTCTCTTCCAAGGAAGAGATTTGTCCCTAAATTTGTACCTCCCCCAGACTCAGGTGTGAGATAGAGGTGAGAAACTGAAGCACTGGGGCAGCTCTTCGGTTAGAACAAGAGAAGAGAACTCGATTCAGTGTGGCATAATACAAAAAAAAAAATGCTGTATATAGGGTCAGAGAGCACAGGGTCAAAACCTAGGTGTCAGAAGGCCTGGGTTTCACAGAGCTGGAAGAGAACTCGGGTGTTATCTGACCCAGCCTCCTCATGTTACAGTCTCTAGCTTTGCTCCAAATGTGATGGGATATGATGACCTTGGACAAGTCTCTTCTCCTCTCTAGGTCTCAGTTTCCTCGACTGTAAAATGAGTGGTTTGGACCCGATGCCCTGGATCCTGTGATCTGTCCTTCTTTCAGCTCCACTGGGGCCCCAAAATCTGGAGAGGCCCAGGCTAAAAGCCCAAAGACCCGAGTTTTCCTATTGCCGGCAGAGCTTTCCCGTTGGCAAAGGGCGGTTCCCTCAAACCAATCCTGTGGGATGAGGAATGTCACAAGGATTAACATTCATATTATGACAGATGAGGGAACTGAGACTCAGAAATACCTTAAAAACCAAATAATGCTACCCCCTCATTTTAAAGACTGGGAAACAAAGGGGAAATGGTTTGCCCAAAGTCATGCGTCAGTTTAGAAGCAAAGCCAGGACCCTCTGGGAGGTCAGATGACCTCCTACAGTGGCTTCCAGCTCTAAATCTACATTCCCCAAGTCCTGAGAACCTCAGATCTCCTAACAACTTGCTCATCCATCAGAAATCAATAAACCCTGTCCTCTTCAGGTCTCCTGCATTTTGATGGCTTTCAACTTCCAAGTAAAAGTTCCTATTTAAACACCAGAAACTTGTCCTGGTTGAACTAAGTGAATATAGCTATGTCTCCCCATATGCCCCCAACAAGGCCAAGACAGACATCATTAGAGGCTGACAGTTGGCTGGCCCCATTCAAGCACCCTCCAAATTCTCTGCCCATTATATGGAAAGGAAAACAGACCCAGCAGCAGAAATCCTGAAGTTAGGAAGAGCTAGAATATTAGGGGCTGGGTCCTCTGTGAGGAGGAGCCCCAAGGGGAGAAGGAAATAAGCATTTATATAGCATCTACTATGTGCCAGGCACTGTGCTAATCACCTTATAAATATCATCTCATTTGATCCTTACAACAACTCAGGGAGGGAGATGCTGTTATCCCCCATTTTACAGTTGAGAAAACGGAGGCAGACAGAAGTAAAGTGACTTGCCCAAGGTCACACAGCTAGTAAGTGTCTAAGGCTGGATGTGAACTCAGGTCCTCCTGACTCCAGGCTCAGCACTCTATTCACTGCCCCACCTTCAACAGTCAGAGCCCAAAGCTGGCTAGACACCAGGGATTCTTGGTTCCCCTTCTGACCAGACTGTACTCTCCAGTTGGCAGCCCACACCGCCTTAATCTCAAGTTTCCTTCAGTCAACTCTGGGCCACCAGAGTCACTCACTGAGTCACCAGCAAGGGAATGAGCTCCACATCCCACAACAACTGAGCAAGACATCCTCATACCCCTCCCTGAGCCTCAGTTATTGAGACACTCTGAACCTGGGATCCAGGGAGCCTGGACTCCAGTCTTGATTCTCTCCCTTACTTAATGTATGACCTTGGGTGAGTCAATTCCCCTTCTGGCTCTTGTTAGACTAGATGGTGTGTGATGTCTAAGGCCTCTGACATTACATGTTCTAAAGGCCCTCTGAGCTTTGACTTCCTGGGGTTCTAAGGGTCCTTCCATATCTGCAGTTCTATTTTCTGAGGGCCCCCCAGGAGTGACCTTCTCTGTTCTAAGGGCCCTCCAGGCTCAGCTATCCTGTGCTCTAAGGGCTTTCCCCAGGTCTGACCTTCTGTGTTCTAAGGGCCCTCCCAGCTGTGACCTTCTCTGTTCTAATGGCCTTTTCCCAGCTCCGACCGCTATTCCAAGGGCCCTCTCAGCTCAGCTATCCTGTGTTCCAAGGGCCCTCCCAGCTCAGCTATCCTCTGTTCTAAGGGCCCTCTCAGCTCAGTTATCCTGTGTTCTATGGGCCCTCTCTGCTCTGACCTTCTGTGTTCTAATGGCCTTTTCCTAGGTCTGACCTACTCTATTCTAAGGGCCCTCTCAGCTCAGCTATCCTGTGCCCTAAGGGCCCTCCCAGGTCTGACCTTCTGTGTTCTAATGGCCTTTTCCTAGTCTGACCTTCTCTATTCTAAGGGCCCTCTCAGCTCAGCTATCCTGTGCCCTAAGGGGCCTCCCAGGTCTGACCTTCTAAGGGCCTTTTCCCAGATCCGACCTTCTCTAGTCCAAGAGCCCCCCCAACTCTGATCTTCTCTGCTCCAGGGTGCCCCCCCCCCAGCTCTGCCCTGTGTTCTCTGGGTCCCCCAGCTCTATAGATCTGAGTCTAGGAGTGAAGGCCAGGGAGAACGCTGTTTAAGGGAAGAGCTGCCCTGATTGGAGAAGCCACTGCCCCAGTAGGTCAGGCTCCACCAGACTTTCAAGTAGTCACTCCTTTGGAGGGATGAGCTGTTTCTCTGATTAGCTGCTTAGTGAGGGGTCAAGTAGAAGAAAGAATGACGGGATCAGTGTGAAGGTGAGAAAACCTGAGGGCTAAGCTCAAAATTGGAGCAAGAAAGGCCTTTGGAGCAGGTGGGGCCCCCGGGCCAGGGAAAGGCCCCCAGCCTCAAAGCTGGGTCCAGCGAGGACCCCAGGGTCTAGCCCCCAACTTCAGAGCCGGCCAGGTCCCCAAAGTCCAGGCCCCAGCTCCACAGTCAGCCAGGCATACAGTCCATCCTGATTAGGTCAGCTCCCAAGAGTCCAACCCCCAGCCTCAGAGCCTGCCAGGTCCCCCAGTCCCCCAGCTCTCCACCCTGCCCATCCCCAGGGAAGCTGCTGATCAGTGATTTATCCGGGGGCCCCCTCTGGGAGGCGGGTGCCCTGGCAACACCACCATTGCCATGACAACGGCAATTACCCAGGCGCGGGGGAGAGGGAGCAGCCCACGGAGAAGGTAGGGGGATGGGTTAGCCTCAGGACCCGCCCCACAGCTGCTCCCCCAGCCTCCACCCAGCCCCGCCCACGTCCCCTCCCCCCAGCAAAGAGAAAGCCGAGGAGCTGGAGAACTAGAATCGCTTCTCCCAGCTGGCTACACTCCCCTCTCAGGCCACTCCAGAGCAGCTCCCTGGCCCGAACCCACCCACCCTGGACTGGGAGGCTCCGGGTCTGGGCTGTAAGGCTGGTGAACTTGGGGGCAGTCCCCCTTAGGAGCTAAGCCTCAGTTTCTTCAAAGTTCACCTCCCTTCAAGAAGTCTCCAGAGCTTAGCCGGACGGGGGTCCCAAGAGGCAAAGATGGGCGCCCTGGGCTGCTCCCGGTGCTCCTAGCCAGAGGGCGCAGCATGATAAATATTGAATGAACGAATGAACGAATGAATGAATGAGGAGCTCCAGCCCACCAGCTGAAGACCCAGTTTAGTCTTTAGTGAAGAATTTCCTAGTCTGTAAAAGGAGGGGCTTGGAGCAGTCACCTCTAAGGACCCTGTTTGTATATTATCTCCCCACCTTAGATTGGGAGCTGTTTTTGTCTTTCTTTATATCCCCAGCACTTAGCACATAGTAGGTGATAATAAACTCTGTGGACTTTGAAGGTCCCAGCGGACTCTTAAATCTCTCTGATCCTATTATTTTTACCCAGTGAAAGTCCCTGGAACGGAGGGAGGGCCAGGGCTGACCGATGATTCCAAATTGACCGCCGCCCAGAAAGGTTGTGTAATGAGCCCAAGGTCACTCAGCTGGGTGGATGGGGACTGGAAGGGGCTATTCTGGCAGGAGTCAGTCCGGCTCAGACCAGCCCCAAGCCCAGGAGGGAGCCAGGCTGCCCTGCCCTGAGCCAGCCCCTCATTCGGGGAGGCTGACTCTGCAGAGGGGGAGAAAGGACTCTGGGCACGGGGTGGGGGGAGAATCTGGACACATTCCTATGTTAATTATTGAGAGGAAACAGCTGCCTCGACCTGGGATAGACCTGACTAAGGAGGCTGGGGACAGGGGTGGGGAACGTCTGCTATGGGGCAGCTCTCCACTAGGCTGAGAAGCCCAAGCTCTAACCAGAGGGCAGGAGGCTGGCCGCTCAATTCTCTTTCCTGGCAAGGAAACCCAGGAGCCCCAGTGCTCAAAG